TCGCATACGAACTCCGTTTTCGACGTTCTTTATATCGACGCGAAGGTGAGATTATGCTCTACAACTCTTGTTTAGACTTTATCGGCTAATTTTGACTTTATTCTTATTATATTTTTATTATATTATTTTTAGTAGGCCGGGACAGGAAAACTCCGTTAGAAATCCATAACTCCTTCGTCTAGCGTCCGTTTTTGTCTGTCTTTCTACCGTTGGACTACTATCGACGAGATCTTCAATTCTCGTTTAGATTGTTTTGGCTAAAAACCGTTCGATCTAATATTCGAACTTCGGGTTGTACACTGCTAAGCCGAAACTTCGAAAGATCACGACTTCCTCATACGAAGTCAGATTTGGGCGTTCTTTTTATGGACGCTCTCGGTTTAACGTATTCTACGACTTTCGTTTGGATCACTAAGGCCAAATTTCGCTCCATCGTAAATTCACTATTTACGTCACGTTGTGTCGTGTCGGTTCTGTCGCGAAACTTCGACATATAATAACTTCTTCGTTATAACTCGGATTTCGGCGTTCTTTATATGTACGGAATCCTTGTAACATATACTACATCATAGTTAAGATTATTCCTTCTAAATAATCTTCCATAAAAAAGTCATTTTTGATGCTCTTTGTCTCTAAATTGACTAGCCCAGATCTACGGGCGTTACATCGACGCCTTTGAGTAGTGTATCACAGTCGAAACCAGCTTCCTTAATGCTGATCTGGTAAGGGTTACCTTTCTTCATGCAAAGTGATCCATTCAATTCTTTAGGAAAAAAATTTGTTACTGTCCTAAGACATACAAGGTCCATTGAGGGTTGTAGGTAATTTTAACGCCATTTCTGATGTGTCTGAAAAACTTGGTGGCAGACCTCCAAATCTTGTATCTTTGTAGGAATTCAATGCAATGATTAATGATTGTGGCATCATTGACTGCGGCATAAAACCTGGTCGAATAAGCAAGAGTGGGGGCTTCGTATGGGTTAGGCTTGACAATGTTTTCACTAATTCGACTTTTGCTATGATTTGTGGGAGTCTCCTTCGGAAATGGAAATAGTCCATTATTTTCCATGGCTTTTTTTTTTGCGGGGGACCCTAATGATGTGGCTAATGATGAGGTGAAAATGGATCAACTGCTTTGAGGAGATTCTTTTCTTCCAATATTCCGAGAAATAGAGATAACAATTGATAGGATCCACCCAGTATAGGATGAGTCGACCTAGATTCTCTACAATCCTCTCATACTCAACTTTAATTGGCGTTGTTGGGCCGAAGAAGAACTTGTTGTTGAAAAGGAAAAAAAGTACACTACCCTTATAATACACTGGCTAACGCCTTTGTTCGATTGGAACGGGGCCTCAAATTTTTGATGGTAAAGGCATTAGCAAGGTCCTCTTGTGTTGCTCTGTCCTTAAGTACAAAGGCTACTGGAGTGAGGTTGCGTATATAATAGTAGCATTTGGGCCCATAGATAGAGTTATCCCATCCAATGCCTTTTCGTTACCGCTCTGTGGGGGCTTTCTAAAGTAGGCATAAGTCAATGATGATGGCATTGAATGCATCTTTGAAAAGGAAATAAAAATCTCGTGTCGGTATTATTGAATCAATAGTTAACCCAAACACAAAGTAGACTGCTTGAAAAAAGCTCTACGCCTTTCACTCTTCACTTCCCAAACCCGACTAACTTTTTTCTTAATTACCTTATTCATGAACCTTTTACCCTTAAGAGATGGGAGTTATGTCCTATCTCCCACAGTTATGCCCGATTTAAATTGAGGAGAATACTTAAGCCTTTATAGAATACAGACTTGCTTCTTTTCCGGTCCGGGCTAGTTCACAAAACCTAGACTCCGATGGCTCGCTTGGAAAACGTTCGTACGTTGCTAATCTCTTATTCTCCTCCTACCCTTGAACTCTTGTTGAATCGAGGAGTTAAAGCTCTTCATTTTGATGTTGATCACTTTAAATTCCGACACTTTAGATTGGTTCATCAGTTCCATGACTAATAATGGTTATCTATTGGACATTTCCATATATATATATATATATATATATATATATATATATATATATATATATATATATATATACCAGGAAACTTATGCAGGCCGTGATAATCACGGCCCTAGAGAATTTATTAATAAGTTAATTTTAAGTGATTCCATGGAAAACACGGTTTATGCTGAGAATATAACCACTGATTAAATTCTTTTTTTGTTCTAAAAAACTTGAAAGGAGATGATAGTAGGATTGTATAATACCCAGGTCAACTAATGTAACAACGTAAAAGTTTCGACCAACTTTTTTTTTTTTTTTTAATTGCAAAACACATTCATTCCAATAATAAAACCACAAAGTGCCACAATTTCAATTCATCAAAACTCATGTCCAAAAGAAAAATGTATATAAAATTCCAGGATCCTTTCAATCATAAAACAATCTCCGGTGTGTGTGTACAATCAAGCCGGTGTCTTCCCATGATCCTGAGAAGTACCTGAAACACATAACACATAACACGGTAAGCACAAAGTTTAGTGAGTTCCCCAAAATACCATACACAACTCATTAGCCACTCTAGGCCATAACTCAATAAGATCCTCCAATCGATGTGTCTCAGTGGAACCCTCCGGTCCCAACTCAGTAAACTCATAGCAACAATATTCAGCATGAATCACAAAAACATAATGCAGAATATTACAATACATAGATAAACACATAAAACAACTCAATCACATAAAGATAAGCATCTCTAATCAATACCCCACTCTTAGTCAAATACAACAAAAGTTTCTCTTACTCTCTCTCTCTAACTCTTGGAATGGGTAAAAGACCATTTTACCCCTCCACGGTCTTCATTACTTATGTTGGCCAAACCCTAAAGCCAACAAAAGTCAACTCGAGTCAGCAGTCCCACTTTGACCTGACTCGCCGAGTGCACTCATGTGACTCGTCGAGTCCACTCGTTACTCAAAGGTCCTTGCAATGGTCCAGCTCGTCGAGTTAACCCCTAACTCGCCGAGTAACAGCATTGACAGCTCATCGGGTAAACCCTAACCGACTCGTCGAGTCGGCTCCTGGACTCGGCGAGTCCATTCAGACTCTTTCCCCAATCAGACGATTTTAAGGCAGAAAACTTTCCCAAACTCTGGATCTACACTCCCAAGACTCATTTATCACGTAAAGTCACAGACTTTACGTCCATGCGTGGCACTTAGGGCTTGAAATGCCAAGAACATGCTCTAACAAGGGTTTTTCACTCAAGAGTTCCATTAAGGCTGAATAAAGCAGGGACCTTTGGATGCTAGGGACCTCACAAGGTCCAGATCTGAAGTCCAAACCTTCATATGAACTCAATACCCTCAAAGTCCCAATAATATATAGAAAAGAAGCCCTAATCTCCAAAAATATGAGATCTACCCAAACAAATGAGAAAGGTTCGAACTTTATACCTTTAACAGGAGCTCTTAGATGAATAACAACAGATCTAGCAACCTCCTCTTGCTCCTTGCTTGAAATCCTTCTCTTCTCTTGCAAAGATACACCAAAATACTCAAGGTTAGCTCACACTCTCTCTCTATAAGCTAAAAGGGGCGATTAGGGTTTCTCTCAGGAAGGTATAGCCGCAAATGAGGCTATAAGTGCCTTTTAATAGGCCCCAAACCCGGGGGATTAGGGTTTCTCATCCTAGCGTCTACTCGGCAAGTCGACTCTCGGACTCGTCGAGTGGGTCATTAAACCCACGTGGTACATCGCGACTCTACTCGACGAGTTGGAGCACTTACTCGTCGAGTAGCTCAATAGCCAAAATAGATAAATAATTAAATAAATATATACCTGGAAATCCGGATGTTACAACTAAAGTAACGATAGACTAAATACATCTTGGTAAGGGTGACAGAGTTGTTGCCAAATTTGTAAGCTGCTTCTATCCTAGTGATCATTTTGGAATTGGGATATTCATGTTGACCTGTAACTTCCAATTGTCATAAATCATGTCAAAAACCATTTTCTTGCATAAATGGGCAAATGAAAAAGTGAAATGTGGCTGCATAAATATGCATTTAACCCTTGATAAGTACTACTAATTAATAAGATTATTATATATTGGACTTGAGAATTTAGGAAAAATCATACAAATCTTTGTATAGATCAACCATAGTTTTAGCCGGATCAATTACTTTTGCAGTAAGATCGACATAAAAGCGCACTAAAGTTAAAAAAAAAAAATAGCACGCCTTATTTTCACTACACCCCTAAAACTTCAATGTTGTTGTAGCATAAAGATAATGTTCCAGACGCCATGATCCGATGAAAAGGGGGTAAATTAATTTAAGAAATGAAAATAGGATGTTATATATAATAAAGTGAACAATGAAAGTAGGTTGCTATTCTTGAATTTAACTCAAGAAAAAAGTACACATGGGAGTGGTCAACATCCAAAAAGCAGCATCATTTATCAGTATCGAGGAATCTAATTTTTTAGAGTGTAGTTTGCCAAATCAAAGTTGAATGTACTAAATATGGGAGTGGTAAACAGTAGCTGCTCTGAAACTACTACTATATATGTATGAAGAAAAGACGGAAACTAACGGAATGTTCAAAAAGTTAACAACAGAGAGTACGAAAGGCCAATATGTTGTAAGGTGAATTTTTGGATTATGTGTTCAACCGGAAGTTGCAAACATTCATGTTGAGTTCAACGATTGGTATTAAAGGTAATCAAAATAAAATAAATGCAAGTATATGGGTAGTAAAGGTAAAAACATACAATTATATTGCTATTATGATCACATCATTTATACTGCTGATCAGAATATTTGTCTTTTCAAAAGTAAACATATATGCTTTCACAATTTTTGAATCAGGAGCAACAAATATGATGTTGGCTAATAAAGCTACTATTTATGTGTAATTACAGCGCTATCTGCAAAATCAATATAGTTTTCATTTACAAAAAATGCTCGAAAATAATATTAAAGTTATTATATTGTACTAATTGACAACCGAGTGACTTCAAGTTGAACTTCAATGTAACCACCAACCAGTAATAAGGACCTTGTCATGCTATCTATGCATCTGAACAGTGCTAGATTAGCATGAAGAATGTATCAAGTTACTAATATACAGACATAAAGAAACTTTATAGAAAAATATTAATATTTTTTTCCTCCCACCAACTCTATGGCTAAAATTGATGAATATTGTTAGATTGTTTGTTGGAATGTAAGGGTAAAATGATCATTTAGTTTCATTCACAACAATTTATTCTATCCAAAAATGAAATGAAACAGACCTTATGAGTTGTGTATACAACATTCTACCTAAGACACATCATTACCAATTCATCCGTGACTTAATTTGGGTATAAAAGAAACAACCCTTTAATCCAGTAAAGCTATATATTGATTAAAAATAAGGACTTCATAAAGAAAGGCAGGGATTTCCCATTAAGTATAACATTTTACAAATATCCCCTCATTTATTTTTTCCCACCATTTTCCAACTATTTTTTTTATCCAGAAGAACAATGGATGGGAAAATAGAAAGAAATAGAGGTTGTACACAAAAAGTTTTAAGTTAAATTTATATAGGGAGTGTGCTAAACTGCTAATACATAATACTTTTCCAAAGAAAGCTGCAAACTTTGACTGAAAGCCTTATTTTAAATTTAGTATTTGGTTGGTGGACAAATGTTTTAAATAACAATAAAAAACACAAAAAATATTAAACCTACTTCATAAGTTGCCACGATGGCACGATTGTGTCTCGTCTACATCATGTTTCCATCTGTTGGTTAACTCCTTGGATGCCTTCATTGCCTCATCAGTGGTTTCATATATGAAATATGCATTATTAGTGATGTTGTGGTTAAACAATATCAAATTTATATCATTATCTTGTATTAAATATAAATATCTTTCAACAAACCATTCACCATTACAAACCGAATAATCGGTATCTCGACCTCCACCTGATGCTTCTTTCCCCTCCAACATCTATTTTGTTGTCGACGATAACTCCTAATTGGAGAAGGAAGACGGTGAAAACCTCAATCGAAGCATCAAGAACAAGTAAAAAAGGGGGAAATCACAGATGAATTATTACATGTACCTGATAGTGAAAGAAGTGAAACAAACCCTAAAATCAAAACTGGATGCTTCAGGCAAAACACAGGCAGCCGGACGTCAGCTTTCCCGGAGTGTCGTCTTCAACGCAAATCAACCCAGAAGAAGGGTTCGTTTTTGAAGAAGGAATCGTTACGAGTAAGTCAAAAATTAAGAGTCATGGTGGAGGCGTGAAGAGAAGATACCCAACGAGGATATGGGGGTATAGATGAATAAAGCAGAGGATAGAATTTATACCAATGTAATCCAAATTCAAAGCAATTTTCATCACTACAAAAAGTGTAGATACTTTTCGAAGTATAATTTCATAATAAGAAATTAAATTAAAAATACTATGCTCTAATTAGGTACTTTCAAAATACATTGCTATTTTGTTGCATTTAGCAATTATTGATAAAAAAAAAGAAAAGAAGTATTGGCATACAATATGATCGGCTGAAATTCTTAATGAACACTTTGTAGCAAAACACTTGATATAGTCATTATCTAGGATCTCTTTTATAAGTTGTTCTGCGTAATTAACCTAAATGAAATTAAATTAATAAAAGTATAACATTAGGAAGTTGTTCGCCTAAAAGAACTCATATTTCATAAGTCCAACGCCTAGCAACTTTCTCTTTTGTATTCCCTCCACTTCCGGTTACCTACAATAAAACCTTCCATATTAGTGTTTAAAATTTTTTAAAAAATTCAAGCTACATTTTATTTAAAAATAAACTTATCGGTTGAGGAAAATGAAACATTTTAACAAATCTAGCTGAATTATCTAATACATTCAACATGTCTTGGAAGAAATTCAAAAGTAAGTATTTCAAAATAAATATAATGCCAAATAATAACAAAATGAACTTTGATTACAATAACATTAACACCATCTATTGAGTGATTAAAACGACCCAATCAATCACCATCAAGTGAATATGACCGACACCGGAGAACAATTACATATTGTTGATATGTTTCAACAACTTTCACGATAATCTACAAAAAAAATACATTAAATCGAAAAAATAAGACATCTAGTTTTGAATTAGATTAATTAATTTTATACACATTTTTTAATAACGTAGAATACATAACTTTATGTATATTACAAGATAATAAACTTTTACCTTTGAGAGGAACTACGGAACACACACAAATAACTCCCCTTCTGTTATGATTTTTTTTAAAACCTTATAAAACAATCAAAATAATTGAGTCTAACCTATTAACAAGTTTTTCTTAGAAATATTACATAAAATAAATCGTAAGTAGCTCCTTCAACCAATCATTTTTTGTATCCTGTATAAAACATT